TATTTTCAGAAATGAACCACAGGATTTGAAATCAGGCAGGATAAAAAATCGAAAATACAACTGTAGAAAACGAGTACTGAGAAACGCAGAAATCAGTCAGCAAACGTGCATAACCACGCAACATTTTCATGAAATTGCATTTTGGTTATTTACGGGTTATAGTTATGCACTGCAACTGATTACTGTCAGGTGGAGCAAATAAATTGCAGCCAAAAAATGCGTGCATCAGATGGCATTGTTTACTCAAACTTTGAATGACTGGGTTTTGCCGCGCTAAAGAACGATGCTGTTTCCATTATTCGCAAACATAACAGCTTGTCATCCTCATTTCACTGCTGCACCTAGGCGCTGTAATAAATTGCAGATGAACAGGATAATTTTTGCCTCGCGCGGACCCCCAAACCCGGCATTTGACGTTCAAAGCACTAAACATCTCACTGTGCACTACTCTGCAGTGCCGTTCTTGGCTTCCTACCCATTTTTTTTTCAAGATAATTATTTGTCTATTGAACAATTTACTTAGAACTGGTGTTTGACCTGCGTATCGAGGGTGCAGAGCCGAATACCATCGCAGTGATCACTACAGTGAGTGAGTGACATCAAATCAAAGGAGACCGTTTCGACAATGACATCATACTTTACATTTACATGGTGGTCAATTCTCGGGAATAACGGTGAATAGCTGATTTTCATATCCATATCAAGAAGTAGGATTGCCTAAAAACACAACTGATAGCAGCTGTGTGACAGACACTGTCTTTGTTCTCCTCTATCGTTACCAATCTTTCTCACAGATGTTCTTATTTATCAACCCCTGAAAGAAGAAAGGCGAGTAACGTACACTGAGCCTAAAACTCAACACATTTCGGCAACCGATTAACCTCGATCTGAAGCAATATGCAGTAAATTTTCTTATCAAGGGAATCCGAGAATAAGGCAAAATGAGAGATCTTCAAGACACGAGAACTGCAATCTCGATGACAACGAGAATGCTCATTGAAAACTGAACAGTTCAAAGTTCCGCCCTCCTCCTATATTGTCGAATCAGCTTTTGACTTGAATATCTTATGCAAAATAACAGCAACAGCAAACCAATTATGAAAGCACAGAATAGCATTTACAAATAAGAGATCCAAGGTATTTTAGTCATCGCTTCTCGGCTGAAAACGCCAAGATCAAAGTGTAGTATCTGTTCTTATCAGCTTAACCTCTGGTAAATGACCCACGCGGTCATTTTAAGGTTAATAATATTTTTGGAAAGAGGTCGCTGAACGAAGCTTGCTTCACGGTGACCACGGGTCGAATTGGTTTTGCAGTACTGCCAATAGTGGCCCATTTCCCTTCGAGGGAGATAGAATTCAAACACGTAGAAAATTAGTTGAAGTGGGGAGAATTACTTATTACTTTCTCAATTTGCGTCAATGTTACTTACAGGTTGATGCGCTCTTTCAGATGTCACTTTAACGTACATCCAGTTACAAGGATACCGTCACCTTCATCCAGCAACGAAGTTAAAGCTAAAAAATCGGATCGTTTAATGAAAGAATTAGGCTCTTTTCTGATTGGATTATCTTTCTGGTCGTTTGTACAGAGACGTTTATATTTATTAGTGAAACCTTTCGGGTTGCTCCAGCGGACGTATATGATAATCAGTGCTGACTGTATACGGTCGTCGATGATCAACGCAATACGGATGAATAATAAATAGCGACAAATGAACATGAACCGCGATTTCGATAACAAGATGTTCATTCTAAACTCCGCCCCTTTGCAAATTGTCGAATCAGCTTCCGACTTATATATCTCATGCAATAAAGCAGTACCAGCAAACCATTTAATATAGCGACTGAAAGCGTCTACAAATAAAAAATCTAGGTTTTCCAGATATCGCTTCTCGGCTGAAAACGCCAAGATCAAAGTGTAGTATCTGTTCTTATCAGCTTAACCTCTGGTAAATGACCCATGTGGTCATTATAAGGTTAAAATTATTTTTGGAAAAAGGTCGTCGAATGAAGCTTGCTTCATGGCGACCACGGGTCGAATTGGCGTTGCAGTACTGCCAATAACGGCCCATTTCCCTCAAAGGGAATATGCGCTTCAAACGTAAGGTGAGGGATCTATAAATCGTGTTGACGGTTCCGTTAAAACAGTTGCAAGTTGATGAGAGGCGGCGCTTCAGTGTAGTCGAACTCAAGCGTCAATTGCGAATGGTAATTACATTTATGACTACAGTTAACCCTCTGACCAACCTCACAGCCAACTAAAAGTCAATACTCGTAAACAAATCCAAACGATAAAAACTGACATAACACAACCTTCAATTCTTCCATCGTGGTTACAAATATATACACCTTTGAACGGTTACTAACATTGATTTTCAATGAATCATACAATCGCTATGACTTAAGTCAATCTTAATAGTCAGTGACAAGGTATGTACAGATGGAAATACTGAATGAGCAGTCCATGCACGACGAATGACGAAACCCTCTAACATTATAAAATATATAACTCCAAATGATTATTAACACAGTTTTTGAAACTTTTGTCAAGAGTTTAAGCTGTCAAAAACAAACCATGGAAAAATGACTTTCTTTCTCTCTCTCTCTCTCTCTCTCTCTCTCTC